TGCACGATCCTTCGCAGTAGATAGCGCTATTTATGCAATAGCGAAAATCAGACCTGAAAAAAATCAGGCCTGTACGGGATTCGAACCACTGACCTCTGCGATACTAGTGCAGCGCTCTACCAATTGAGCTAACAAGCCAACTGGGAGCAGGCCGTTAAGTTGATTCGTAATAAACCCGTGATGATAAATCAGATACAATGAATATATGAAGTTCACATATTTTGAGGTCTTTCTGACCTCGTTCTCCAGTACAAAATTCAAAAGAATACATTATCTCAAGCGAGTCCAGAAGGGCTAATTTAAATTTAAACAAAAGAATATTAATCCGGCAGCCATCTTTGCATTATTTAAATAAGTAATCACATGATTTCGAGTGTAATGTGGGATGAATTAGCACGAGTAAATTTTTCAGACTTTTAGACAGTTGTTTTTGCTTTTTTGAGCGTTTTTGTTGTTAGCCCTCCCTCTCCTTGAACTCCGAATTTAAGATGATGTTCCCTTCTCCTAACCTGTCCACCACTTTTTTAGCTATGCTTTTGTGCCTTTCCTGTTAATTAATTTAAATTCAACTTTCTGCACTCATTTTCATCTTTTTGCACCCAATTGCAAATTTCTCTATTGTTTGGAAAGAATTAACGTGTTCTCAGCCAATGATCTTGCTGAAATTTTTGCATATACATTATTAGTAGGTTAATCAAGCTTGCTTCAGATTCGAGAGTCTATGAAATCAATTCGATATCTAGCAAGTCCTCATAAGCACACATTCATACTTTGCTTTTCCTTGCTCAATGAAATACACTTGATAATCATTAAAGAGATGTTTTTCTTATTAAACCTCTGTTAATGGCTCTCGTACAGTCATCTCGATAGGGATGTCCTCAAAATTGCAGAAATCTCATTATGCAACATACTGACCAAGTGCAAATTATTCAAATCAAGAAGATGAGGTCTATTTTTGCAGAAACTTTATCTTGCTTTTCTAGGGAATTGATCAACCCAGATTGACTGTGGAGTGCTTATTTTGAAAATTTGAGTTTTACTTTTTAAGTCAAGAAAGACTGGAAAGATATGGATAAGATTGTAACCTCTGTTACCTGCATTTCTCTGCAATGAAATGCAGCATTACACTCTGGTCTTCCTAGTCGGCACATGTTCTCATAACTATGTCGTAACCTGTGAAAATCATTCGATTTCAATGTATTTCAAGCTAAATGTTCTATAAAGTAATCTCCATTACCAAGTGGTTATCAAGCAATGCAATACTACTCACGTTTAGTTAAAACCTAATTTGGACCATAAAAGTAGAATAGTTTCATAGGAGGTTATATGATATTTAAAGACATTGCCAAATATGTGTCTTTTGTAAAGTACTCATGGTGACAAGTCCAACAAAAAAAGCACTCACATCTGATAAAAACACTCTGCACTGTGTATCTTTTTCTGAGATTCAAAGTTTTAAGGATAACTACACTTGTTTGTTGAATGAATATTGTGTAAGGCAGATTGGGTGTCAAGCATGAGGAAGAATGATGCCCTGGACATCACTTAAACACAAGACCTCTCTGCATTTCAGGTAGGAGGTGAAATAATATTTGCTACAGATGATTGGTTTGCTGTCGCTGAAAATTTACTGAAGGTAATTTCAAAATTTATTTCAGGGGGAAAATACAATCAGCTAAAATGTTGGAAAAATCAAAGAAATCCAAACCATGTCACAGATTTCTAGCAATAATAATTGTTTATAGTCAATGACAAATCATGAGTGATGCTGAGAAAATTACAAACATAAAGCATTGGTGTCAATCAGACCAAGCCTAATTGATTAAGAACACTACTTAAAGATTATTATACTTAAAATCAATATGCTATAGAGTTCACAGATTCTGCTTTCCTGATAAATTCTAACATTTGAAAGAGGGAAGTCAGAAGTACCCGTTAATCCCACTCAATCTAACTGAATATGTTATAGATTTCATAGATTCTGCTCTCCCTATAATTATTTATCTATTTATTGAACTTAAAATTTAAGTAAGGCAACAAAAGAAACAAAATCAACTTTCAATTGGCTGTGACCTTTCTTAAAACTCTTAAAGCTTTATTAGAGTCTGCAGTCCAAGTTTTTTATATATTGTTGTATCTGATATGATGAATATATGAAGTTCATATATTTTGAACTGTGGTTATAGATTATGTATGATGCACAATCCTCGCAGTAGAGAGCGCTATTTATGCAATAGCGAAAATCAGACCTGAAAAAAATCAGGCCTGTACGGGATTCGAACCACTGACCTCTGCGATACTAGTGCAGCGCTCTACTTCATATATAATCATTGTATTTGATTTATCGTCACGGGTTTATTACGAATCAACTTAACGGCCTGCTCCCAGTTGGCTTGTTAGCTCAATTGGTAGAGCGCTGCACTAGTATCGCAGAGGTCAGTGGTTCGAATCCTGTACAGGCCTGATTTTTTTCAGGTCTGATTTTTGCTATTGGATAAATAGCGCTCTCTACTGCGAGGATCGTGCATCATACATACATACAACAGTATCTCAAACTTAAATAGCTTAAATCTTATAGCTGGCTCCTCCTGAGTGGCGTGAAGGAGTGTTCACATTATGTGGAAAGTGGATGGATGGATGGGAAACAAGACGTAAAAGAATCCCTGGCCATGACTGGTGCATAATAAAACTAGGGATACCTGGAGTAATCCATGGACTTGATATTGATACCTCACACTTTACAGGCAACTATCCTCCTAAAGCTTCTGTTCAAGCTGCTTGTCTTGAAAATGGTAAGAGCATTTGGGTTAAACATCTTGATCACTTTGTAAAGGTGTATGCAAGGGCCTGAGGGTTTCAATGTAGTATCTATCCAATGCTAATGGTTTAAAATGAGAAGAATGTTTTGTGTTTGTGATAACATTGCAATTGTTAAGACTGTCGAGTCTTTCAGATACATGTATTAAACTTTAGGTTGGGTCTCTTTCATCACTATCTTTACTGTTATGTGGGTAGTTAGTGTGAGAACTCACACATGGCTTGTTTGTGCTTCACATGAGGTTCCCTTTGGAAATGGATGTTGTCTAACAAAACTTGTGAGCTTGACCATATTTTCCAAATCAAGTTAGGTAAAAATTTGTTCTAGAATTGGATGAGCACATGAATGAGGAGTTGGAGAGGGAGAACTTGGATTGCTTGAGGCTGAGCTTTTAAAGTACTGTATCTCTTCATGTGAATTTGTTTGTTGTAAGGCCTTAATTCTTCCAAAAAATTGTGATTGTTAATTTAATTAGAAGCTACTTGAAGCCTAGGTCTTAGATGAAGATTCCCCAAAATGTTATGTCCTTTTGTAGATACATTTAGATGTTGTGAGTTTATGGTTACTTATTGTTTTCATTTGAATTTTTATTTGATCTATTATCAGATTCAGTAATATTCCCACAGCGAAAAAGTATGATGGGAAGTGCAGCTTCTGCTGACTGGGTAAAAAAAATAGCCCAAATCACACAGGTATGTTTCAAAGTCATTAAAAATGTGTCACTTTAAAATCTATGTGAAATGTGCTGTGACATTTATTTTTATATGCTTGTCTTCCTCTTCTCTGGAAGCGTGCTTTGGTTAAACCACTTCTGAAAAAGGAGGGTCTCAACCCCCTCCTTAAGAACTATAGACCTGTGAGTAACCTTGCTCACCTTTTGGTCAGCCGTGAGCGACCAAGATGGATGCATAGTTTGCAGCTCTGTCCTAGCTTCAACATTTTCAACGTTTTTTTCGTGCATTGTATAACTATTTTCTTCAGTAACTGTCAAATTTTCAATCATCAATATGCCGAGTGACTCTAATTCATTGTTAAAGAAGAAGAATCTAGAGCTTAAAGCTCAAATTGAAGATCTCGCTGAAGAGATCAAGAATCTCAAATCACAGTTAGCCAACAAAGATGGTGACGAGTCAACATCAGCAGCGGCACAGGCTGAGAGAGACCAACGATCTCCCACAAATGAGCAAGCAGATTTTCAGCCAGTCCAAACTAGAGCAGAAGCAGAGCTCAGGTGGTTAAGTGCTCGTCTTGCCCAAGTGAGTGAAAAAGTTGATGAGGTAGGGAAGGCGATTGATGCCATCGAGGAGTACAGCTTCCAGTACAACATCAAGATTGTGGGAGTACCTGAACTCAGTAGTCGGGAAACAGCAGAAGTTACGAGCAAATTATGTGCTAAATTGTTTGCCGAGATGGGAACAAATATTATCTTACAGGACATAGACATAGCGAATTGAGTGCCACTCAGAGGTGCTGAGAATTTGCCGAAGCCAATCATATGCAAGTTTACAAGGAGACTAGCAAAGGAGGTGGTTATGGCTCAACGGAAAGATGCTTGTAAACCAAATCCTATTAACCTTGGTCTGCCTGACTGAACATCCTTATCCTCTGTTCGACTCTTCGACCATCTCACACCTAAAACGCAGAATATCTTCTCCGAAGCAAAAAAAATTTAAAACTGATTATCACTTTGAATTCTGTTGGGCTAAGAACTCGTGTGTTTATCGTCACAAGGACCGGGATTCCCGAGTGCTGAAGATCAAGGATGTTGAGGATCTGCAGAAACTTCTACGATAAGTATATGAAATGTACCTAAAATATGTCTGTTAAGAGCTCTAATAAAACAGCGAGACTGCTTCTCAGAGAACTCCCTTATTTTGGTTTAAACTTTATCCTGATCCATGGCCAATTCAATAATCTTATACCTAGCTCCCTTCCAACTAATAAGTACCTCGAAAAACTCACTAGTTTTTATGAGCTTGACTTATTCAGCCTAAACACAGATAGCAATATCAACCCTGATTTTAACCTTCCTAATTTAAAAATACGAAGCCAATATTATTCCCCGCACAGTTTTCATGCGATGAAAAACGGCTTGAATGTCGGTACCAGAACTGGAATTCCGAAGTTTTTAACTTCCCAACAATGTCAGAAGCCTGAAACGAAATTTTAAAAATTTAGAAACTCATCTTTTAAACGAACTGGAGTATTATTTCAGTGTTATAGGGATAACTGAGACTAAAATTAAAAATTTTGATGTACCAGATCATTTACCATCTCTGCCAGGTTATGAATTTGAATTCGTTCCATCACCTCTTTCCACCGGAGGTGTTGGTATGTACATTAGTGACAAATTTAAGTATATGATAATAGAAAAAACGTCAACCAACGCCTTCCAAGCTCTCTGGGTGGAGTTTCTCTTTAAAAAGAAAAGCAATATTACCTGTGGAACAATCTACAGACAGCACAATTCCCCAGAGTGCTTTCAGGCATATTTTGATGAAGCCCTCGAGAGATTCAGTGAGTCCGATGAGACAGTTTACATAATGGGTGATTTCAACATAAACCTCCTTAATGCTGAGACCTGTAACTTCACTAAAGAGTTCTTACTCACCTTACAAAGCTACTCGTTCATTCCAATGATTGATAAACCAACTAGAGTATACAGTAACTCGGCCACTCTAATTGACAACATTTTTGTAAATAAAAACTGTGTAAGAATCACAAGTGGCAACATTATCTCAGACATAAGCGACCACTACTGTCAATTCTGTTTGACTGAATTCTCTTGTGAAACAAATTTCCCTAAAAAGACCATGGTGTGTGACTTCTCTAGGTTTTCAGAAAGGATTATAACTCTGAATTAGTGCAAGTCGGCTGGGAATCGATTCTTGCAAGAACAAATGGAAATATCGATATCACTTTTTCAAAAATTTAGAACAAACTGACAAACAAACATGCTCCGCTTAAACCTCTGTCAAAGTGAAAATTCAAGCAATCCTTAAAACCATGGATTTCCAAAGGGCTAATCAAATCTATAAAAATTAAAAACGCTCTATTCGCCTCAGGGGATACCGACAAATACAAACCCTATCGAAACAAAATTACATCTCAAATTCGTCTTAGTAAAAGGCTCTATATTATCACAGATATTTCACACAACATATAAACAATATGAAGAAAACATGGATTGGAATCAACAACGTACTGAACCGAAACAAAAGAAAATCAAAACCCGTTGTTGGCCTTAAACGACTAAACGGGAATGGAATATGACATGTAACCCAGCGGAATTGCCGAACGTACTAAATGATTTCTTTTTTATGGTTGGCCAAAAACTAGTGGCAAATGTACAACATAGTAATTATCACTATAATGAATACTTAACAAATATCAATTTCACCACTTCCTTTTTCTTTGAACCAATCATTTCATCAGATATCGAACTGGAAATCTCGCTTTTACCACGAAACAAGGCTTGTGGACTATATTCATGCCCTATTCATGTTTTGAAATGTGCAAAGAGCATACTCGCTTCACCACCAGCTGAGCTTATCAACCTCTCTGTCCAAAGTGGAAAATATCCTTTGAAGCTAAAACATGCAAAAGTTATCCCGGTATACAAGGGCTGACCCTAGAGACCGACCCTAGCAACTACCATCCTATTTCACTACTCTCCGTCTTTATTAAAATCTTTGAAAAAATTATGTACAACCGATTGAAATCATACATTGAATATAATGAACCATTATTTGAAGCCCAGTATGGCTTCAGAGAGAAATTTTTCACTCAGCATGCAATTTTGGAAATAGTGAATACAGTACAAACTAATATGGACAAGAAAATGTTCACATGTGGTATTTTTCTCAATTTCAAAAAAGCATTTGATACTGTCAATCACACTATTCTACTAGATAAATTGCACCATTATGGGATAAGAGGTATTGTACATGAGTGGTTCTCGTCGTACTTAACTAATCGAACACAAACAACACATATTGATAATGACCATATTTCATCTAAGAAAAACTCTGTAACTGGTGATCCACAAGGATCTGTGTTAGACCCCTTACTTTTCTTGATTTATATTAATGACATTCATCTTTGTAGCAATAAACTTGGCTTTTATCTGTTTGCTGATAACACAAACCTGTTATATGCTGACAAGGACTTGAAATCCCTGGAAACCATAGTTAATAATGAGCTATAAAATGTCTGTGATTGGCTTAATGCTAATAAACTAACCATTAACGTGAAGAAATCAAATTTTGTCGTTTATAGGCCAGCACAAAAAAGAATTAATCATCAGCTATGTATCAGAATTCTGGATAACAACAACAATGGATTCACACTTCTTGAATGCAAAGATAATGTAAAATTTTTGGGTATACTTGTGATGGCTGCCATGCCTTTTGCCTACTGTTAAGAAGACATTAACAAACTTGTGCGCGCACGACTCGCGTTCCCATGCTTTGAGATTACAGAGTAATCTTGTAAGCAAGTCACGCGGACCCTTTTTAATGTTGACACATGCGACTTTTAGAGAAGAGTAGTTGAAGTTTTTTAGTTTATCATTTGGTTGTTGTCTTTTGCCGTAAGACTACAGTTTTCTGTGTTAGGGCCTATCCGCACTAGCAACAAAATTGTTTATTTAGACAAATTTTCTGTCATCACCAGCACTTCACAAGTGCGGATGGTTTGTCGCGACCTGACAAATTTTGTCCGAAGTGGACAAATTTTCAAACGCACCGGTGACAAAATTTGTCCCGGGTAAAAATTTGCCAAAATTGACAAAAATTTAATGTGTTAAACTTGTCAATCATTTGTCAGAAAAGCTATTATGGCCTGCCTGGTATTGGTAAGTGATCTGAGTTCAAATTACCTTCTGAGGCATTTCCTGCGAAACGCTGAAAACTGGATGCTTTAACAGTGAACAAGTAACGTAAAGATGAATCCCGGCAATTGGAATTTAAATCCAATGGCAAACTCTGCCGGTCTGCCCTATGAGCAGACAAACTCTGTAGGACACTGGAGCGTTCCACCATACAACGATCGATTGAACAGTGTTCATGCAGCTGGGCCAAGCTACAGCAATGGTGTGTTTTTCCAGTCGTCACGCCAGTTTCCAACGAAACAGAAGTGGTCGTACAAGCACTGCAACAAGAAACACAAACGCCTTTGCAAAACAAAGGAAAAGGGTAATCGAGTTACGACAAATGGTCTAACGAAGAACAGAGTTTCTTGGTTGATCTGTGGTCTGAAAAACACGACCATTTAGAAAGCAAAGACGCTAGGATAGCGTGGCAAGAGATATGTCGAGATCGAGATCAATTTTGGAACGAAAAAGACAGTAGAAAAATGCCAGAGGAAAATCAAATACCTTATCGATAAATATAAGGATGCAAAAACCTGGAACAAAACTAAGAGTGGAGGCCAATTAAGAAAAAGTGTCTTCTATGACAAAATTGATTGTGTTCTTGGGACAGGAGATGTTGTTACCCTTAAGCACATGGTCAAAGCAGGGACACGTACCGATTCTCCAATCTCGAGTCCAACTTCCCCAAGCATTGATGATCATGACTCTGTTGCACCTAGTAGTAGTTCTGGAACTGCAGGCCCACAGCCAATCACCAGTAGGACGAGTGGAACAAGTAGTGCTGAATCATCCAACGCCGTAAACTGCCCCAGCAGAGCC